TTAAAAATGCTCTTGCTGCCAAAATCTCTGGACAAATGTATATCATTAAAATACATAAATAAAAACCAGGAAGGTAAAATAATAAAACCAAGAAGAACATACTAAACAATAAACCTCATAGAGAACTCTGAATATGAATAAATTTCAGCTCAAATAATTCCCAAGGAAAAACTAACCAAAATAAAGTGTCCCTTCAAGTACATTTTCCAGTCTTTGAATAATCCATACTCCATAGACATTCTTGGAGAATAGGGCCCAGTGTTTCTATCAAGCAAGAAACCACTAGGCTTAGTGAAGCACATTGACTAAATAACAGGCAAAAAATACCCACTTTGCCTTTAATTTAGGGAGAAATTCCAATGCAATATTGGTCCTGCCTTCTACAAAAGTGGCTAGATTCTTCCCCCACCGGTACTGCTATTGCCTTAAATAAATGTCAATAGGTTTTCACCGTATCCACTCAAAACCAATAAAAGCTCAGAATCCCAACCAATTATCAACTTCCTATAACATTACTATTTATAAGGTTTTAGTATTAGGTTACAGTTTGACTTCATCATCTTAGTGGAAACTTGGCAAGTTATTTTCACTCTCCAGGCTCCAGCTTCCTTGGGGTCGGGACTATATTTAGATGGGTAATTTTCTTTTTTGAGAATTAAAAACTATCGCCTTTGACTCCTCTCTGACAATTGTTTCCATTTCCTCTCTATACCAACTGGCACAGGGCAGACAGTGGGAGACAGGGGCATAGATGGCACCCACCATGAAACCCCAGCACATTTGGCAACTGGAAAGTGTTACAGACATGGAAGCGTAGAGGTGACTGAGAACAGCAAGGCAAGAGTGCTCAGTCTGGGAGAGAACCGGGACTCTGCCACCAAAATATGTGGCTTTGCACGGCAATGTCCCTCTGAAAAACAGCTAACGTCTGTGAAGGGTGAGGAGCAAGGGCAAGTATCACCTAGTATTGCTATCACTACTGTCAACATGTTTGGTTGCTCTCCACTTCATAAGATCTCAACAAATGAGCCACTTACGAGCATGGTAGCAGTGGGGACTTATAAATGCCAGTTTGACAAACTGATAATCACCAAACCCCAAAAATGCTAGGACTACGAGTAGGTACACAAGATGCCTCCCCTCTGTTTGTTTATTTGTCTATGTACTTCTGGTTGGCTGGGTTATTTTGCAGAGGTGAGTACAGGGAAAAGTATGGGAGTGATGTGATCCTTCTGCCAGGTGTACTTGGCTAGATCTGCATCCACAATGTCTACCTCTGGGTGTGTGTGTGGGGGGGGTAACAGAAAACTTGGCTTGGTCACAGACCATGGTGAGAGCATCTCTACCTAGATCTGAAGCTTCACAGTCATTAGGTCCCAGCCTATTACACAGTCCAAAGAGTGAAGAGGTGTATAATAGGCCAGAGGTGGGGATTTGGCCAGAAAAGAGAGAAAAAACAATACACTTTGTGAGATCCTTGGAGACGTACCAGTGCAAAGAATATAAACCTCTATTATACATATGTTCATTGTAACAGTTCAATTCCATATGTAAAAGAACTAAATCAAAAAAACCTCTCCAGCTGTAATAAAATTCTCTGCCAAAGGATAAAATGTATGCACTCAATCCTAACATACTTTTTCAATGCATTGTCTCTAACACACATTAGGACTAATGAGGGTATTAAAGGAAAGCTTAGCAGTTTAGAAAAGTTAGGGAAGAATTAGTATTAGTTCAGGCTTAGCTTACTACCATCCAATGAGCATTTGTAATTTTATGCAGTGATTACCTTTTAAATACTATTCCAAATATTAATAAAAAGCAGGGAAGTAGTATGACAATAAATAAAATGCGGTTTTATGTCAAGTGTGTCAGAATTTCAAATTTCAAAATAATCAATCACTATTGCTACACAATGGAAACCTAAATGGAATCATAATGTTCCTAATATAATAAGGAAAGCATCAACTATAGACTAATTATTTTTATTTTTTTATTTTATTTTTTAAAATGATTATTTATTTTTTAGTTATTATTCATACATTAAATCACTATACATCATTTGGATTGGGAAGAGACTTTATCCAGCATGATATACACCTCAGTCCAGCCCAGTTGAGACCACCATACACATCCTCGTCAACAGATAGTAAACCTTATCTATGTTCCACAAGTGTCTTACCTCGCTACAAGACATGTGTGCTACCTGGAGAGACAGACAGAGAGGGACAAAAAGCAAGAAATCACCACCCAGAAGGCGGGAGATGGCCATGATGCAATCTCTCTCCTCCATTCTTCTCCTCTTGGAAGTTTGGGCATGCACATACATGCACCTGATTTGAGTTCCAAGCTTCCAGGTCCAGAACATGAATAGCAGTCAACCATGTAGGGTCCAGCACCTCAACTACTATGTCACCTGCTGGCCCTAAGACTAATTAATAACAATGATTAAAATTAGCCCTTTAAATACAGTTTGGACTGGACCACATATATTGGGAGCAATTTAAATAATTTCTATACACAAAGAACTAGGAAGGAAGGTTGTCACATTCTAATTTGAACTCTATATGAATTTTCATATAATTAAAGAACATACAGCCAACAAAAACATGCAAGGCCAAATGACAAATCGTGACCTCTGAGAAAATGGGACTAAAGGCAGAACCTCGAAATGGCCACTTCTGAACAAGAGATTCCAGCATTAATGCAAAATGACTCACCAAATAAGAAGCTACTTTTACTAAGTCCTTCATAGAATCATTGGTTTTATATGGAAAAATAAAACTCAGAGGATAACATTCCTCATCAGATTCTAGATAGGTCTTCAGTGCTCACACAACTGATGGTCATCAGTAAATGTCATGAGAAAATGTTTTAAAGAAAAGTCAAGGAAAAATATAGAAAACCACCCACATGAATGGGCCATCATTTATGAAGTATGATATACCAGGATCACCTTCAAGGTATAAAAAGATAAATCATATGACTGCATAACTGACCTTCACAAAATTGCTCAAGAAAGGACAGAAACTATAATCATGATTTCTTAACTGATTTTTTTTTTTTAGCTCTTTAGGAACTGAATTTATCAGGACTCCACTTAGATTATTTTTTAATTCTGATGAAAGCTTCCTTGAAAAAAAATCTTAATTTCTCTCCCATAATAGCCTAATACAATAGCAATGAAATGCACTGTTAGCAGGGAATTCATCACCCCCTATGTCAGATCTAATCTTAGTAGAATCAATGTCCTGTCAAACTGATTGACATCACACCCCCAGGTATATTAGAGTGACTTAAGCATGCTTTTGAAAAAAAGAGGAAGGGAGAGAAGAGTTGTTTTTTTTTTCTTTTTATTAACATTAAGGCAATTGAGATGTGAGATTAAGAATAATAGAACCAAAGATATTAAGTTATTGATATAATACCAGAAATATTTGGTTCAGTCCTAGAGAATAGCTTTATTTGTTTAAAAACATCAACTCTCCATAAAGCTACTTAGCATTTAATATTGTTCATAAAAGTAATACACATTAATTACCATGAATACTGCCTTGGAAACATTCCAACATCATTTTGGAGTACAGCTCTATAAAGGCACTAGAGTTCTTTTCCACAACATGGGTAAAAGTGAGTGGTGGCAGATAGCTTTCACCTGATTTCTGTAACAAATGACAAGATGTCTCAATTTGCCTCAATTTGAAGTGATAGACTGCAGTTCCCCAAACACAGAGCCCCATCAGGGGCTCCTGAATGTCACTGGATTTGTAATCTGTCAATCAAGGGCAACCCCTAAATACTCCCTAGTTGCATTCAAAGGAACAACCTCCAAGGCATCGCTGTTGAGTAAGGAATTATTTTCATATACATCCACATGTAAAGCTATACACAGAATAAGAGGTGAGGAAAAGTATGGAGATAGTGAAACATGCAGAAAAGATGAAGTCCCAATTATTTACATGGAAAATGTCATATCAACATGAATACTGAACACGCCAGGTGGGCCTGTCTTTTACATCTTAGAGAACTGATCTGAAAAAAACCCTGTGTTGTTCTAAAAGCTTAAAGCAGTGATGAAGTGAAACATTTCACTTACCACACAGAAAATAAAAAAAGAACAATAAAACTTTGGCAAACATTTTCTAAACTGGCTCTGTTATGTATTGACCACAGAGGGTGAAGATAATGAGTTTTCTGTAGCCTTAGAGCATAAGGAAGGCTTGTCACGATTTGCAAGTCTTGTCTTTAAGGAATCATAGTAAGTTACACTCAATTCTTAGAGCACTAAAGACTACACATCATCCAAAAATATTAACTTCATTATGATCATTGTTGACATTTTAAGAAATAAAATACTGGATGAAGCAATGATAAAATTTACTGCTGAAATCTTCATAATACTTGCTTTTACTCTTTTTGTTTTCTAATACAAAAATGCTTATTTTAAAAATTGAATATGAATATAAAGTTGATTACTGATCACTAGGAAATCAGAGCGTCTAAGCCTTTTGTAGACACGCTACAACTACAGTGTAAAACACGCTACATTACTGCAACAACTCTATGAAAGGTAGTCCATGTACTCAGCTCTTAAAACAAGCCTGTCCTCTTAAAAGTGATGTTAGATTTCAGATAATTTTAAATGACACAATCTTGAAAAAGCAAATCCCCATATGAAGACTGAAGACAAGATACTACGTGACAAAACATGAATTAGAATCACTCTAATAATGAAAAAAATGAGCCATGTCTCACAGAATCAATCTCACAGGCAAAGTACAAATGCAGAAGCTCTTTGTTAACTCAAGTTTTTCCAACATATTACTATAAAAATAACATAGTGTCAAGAAAGCTCCTGCTTCCTCTAAATATAGACAATGTTTTGAATGTTTCAGAAAGAAAGGAACACTCCACTCTTAAAATTTTTTTTTCCCCAAATACCAAGACTGTCATAGAAAAGCGCACCTACAACACAGTGAAGTGGAAAGAGTTTCACTTACCATCAAATTTCTTGTGCCTGGACACAAAAGTGGTGCGTACAAAATGGCTTGTCTCTTCTACAAGGTTTTCAAACTCCAATTTGCTCTGTTGACTTAACTTGTCTTCCATTTCTGTGGTGCAGCACGTATATTCCTGAGGGCAGATTCTTAAGTGTTCCCCTGCAATGAGAAGTTAAAAGTCAGTATGGAATAAGAAAATCTTTTGGGAAATTTTAGAGAATTGGCTTCTCTAACATGACGCTCAAATACTGGGGTACACCTTGTCCCAGCTCCTCCTCCAGCCATCCCTGGGAACCATCTCTGAGCCTCAGTACTCAATATTCAGGACATGTGGTGGACTTAAGTAGAACTTGATATTTAGTTTCTATCCCCCATTACTTAAGTGAAGGTGTGTTAAAACCCCCACAATGCCATGGATTGTTAACGACTCTAATTGGAAATGTACCAAGTAACAACAGATGACCAAAGATGCAGTACCATTGTAAGTGTCCTTGTTTTTGGAAACTTTAAGTAAACAAAAGGCATTTAGTTGCATCACCATTGCCTGCCAGACAAGGGGGGCAGGAGAAGATGGAAATGGCTTGTTGTGGCTGTGTTGTTTTAGTGCAGGTCAGTCTGGGGAGTGCATCTGCTTTTCTCTAGGTTAAAGCAGAGGTTTTTAATGGCAGGTCTGTGAGCCATACGTTCTTTCAGTTGAGATTTTGTGTTAGACTGAAAATGTTCTAAAAGGAGGAAGTCACTGATGGGTTTAATTAATGCTCACATTATGTGGGAATGTAGAATAAAAGGAATGAAGTCTTATATTTAATTCACCAGATATCTCTCTTGATATATGAAGCTACTTCTTTTGACAATATTGCTTTCTTTGGTGCTATTTGCAAGTAGAAGCCAATCCTTCACTTCATGAAATTAAAATGGTCTGTTATTGCATAAAATGTGAATTTCCAATTTATGCAGCTCAGTTAGTGTCAAAAATGTTTATCAGAGAGAAGAAAGAAAATCCACCCAACATCTTGCTAAATAAAACCAACAAATGGCCCCTGCAATTAAAGTCACTGTAGGGCATTGAAAATCAAATCAACAAAGTCCTTGATACTGTGATTAAAAGCCATTTATAATGTTGAATAGTGCTTACAAAAAATATGTCCTGTGACCCTGTGTGAAGTATAGGGTGTCTTAGGACTCCTCATGTAGTTAGATATTTAAACTCTGACTTAAAAACACCAGAATAAAAAAAAAGAATGATCACAAGAATATATTAAAGTGAGATCTCATGTAATTACTGAAAAGATGACCATAAAAATTTTATCCTGAGCCAGCTGGTGACATAGTGATTAAGGCAGCAGGGTCCCCATAGCTGACCTCGTGATTCGAGTCCATGACCCAGTGGGTTAAGAAACACTGCAAGCATGTATGCTTGGATGCCAAAGATACCAGAAGGAGAATGAGAAAGAGATTATGGCATGACCATTCTCCATGGGGGAAATGCTTTCTTACTTCCCCTTGGACTCATTCTCTCTCTCTAGAATGCACATATGCCCTTTGACAACTTTTTAAAAATTACATATATATGTGTATTAATATATATATAATACACATATATATGTTATATGAGAGAATATGCATCATGTTGACAATGACAGCATCCAATTTAGATTAGTATTTCTTTCCTAGGAAAAGTTAGGGCTTCAGAGAAATGCTCAAGTATCTTCATTTATAATCTTTTACCTTTTAAGCTCTTAAATACATATGTAGATTTTATTATACTATCTTTGTATGATTAAAATATTCTGTAATAAAAACTTGGGAGTAGGTCATTAAAAAGTAGTAGTCACTATAGCTTTGTTACCAATCGATAGGAGAACATGTGTTAGATATGAAGAAAGAAAAAACCAGCTGCCCTGACATTCTGAAGTCAGGGTGGCACTCACATTTTCCTTCTATATACAAACAGCCTCATCAGATACCAACTTCAGATAAGATTACTCTAAGACCATGAAAAAATGAGAGCAAGCAAAGCCACTTCACAGTTTTGTCTAAGCACAGAAAACAAGGTCACTGTGCCATTTAAAAAGCACCACACATCTCTGCTGTTAGCGAAGATGAAGATTGGTGCTTCTTTGCCATCTTATGATTTATCTTTGCACCTGTCTCCCATCTTGTTGAAATAATATGCAGAGATACTTATTATAGAATTACCTTGTTACCAATTACTTCTGCTTTCTCACAGTGCCCAATCTAGGGTGAACCCCTGGATGTTTGGAACTGTTCCCAAACTACGCAACTAAAACCCAAATCCTGTATTAGATTTCTTTCTAAACCCTTCTTTCTGAGAAACCCCATGGTTTCTATGGGATTCTTTCTATGGCGTATTCTTCTACCTTTTATCAGTGATAAACAACACTGTTCTTTTACAGGTATGTTCCTGGTCATGTCTGGCTTGAAAGCTTTAACAATGCTAAAATGGGGAAGGACAGAACAATGGGGATTGTGAAATCTTTCCCAAACTGAATCTGATCTGTACACTTGGTTGAAATGGCTTGCTCTGGAGCCTAAGATCCTGGGAAGGAAACTATGACTTTATCAAAAGCATATCGTCTGCAGATCACTAAGTTTCTGTTGTAAAATACTAAGCCTAACTGAGAAGAATGAAAAGACAAACTATCCAGAAGCAAAATTTCCTGGTGTTCTAATGACTTCTATGTTGTTAGGCATAGTTTTTTCCAATCCAAATATTTTAATAAAGACTTGATCATGTTCTCTTTTTCTATGGGTATATGAGTATTTTAAAATAGGACATTCAATGGATTTTCATTTTATGTGGAAAATAGATGATAAAAGCAGTGTACAGAGTGAAAATATTTTCTGAAGGAAGCATACTACCTTCATTGAGTTTAGTGAATATCATCCAGATAGGAAGTAATTTTGTCAGTTTCCTCTAACCCTACTCTGGTCCATGTTTTACTGTGGCTCTCAATGAATTTCTTCATTTCTTTCTTAGAGTGTACACAAAAGCCTTTACACTTTCCAGTTGACTACGTGAACGCTGCTTTTCATTTTCAATCACTTTCAGGAAGTTTAGACACCAAAAATTGACTGATTATGGTTTAATTTAATTCATGGCCTGAGGCATATGTTGGCCATGTGAATTAATGCCATCCATTTAAATGATCTCTCTACCTCTCTACTTTCTCTCTCCATGCTTATCTATTTTCTGTCTTGCCATCTTTCTAGATTTGACCCTGCCAGGGATCCATATAACAAAGGAAAAATTAATTGACTCCTTGAGAATATTTCCAGTTCTATGAACAGACTAATAATGCAATGAATCTGTAAGGTTGCCTCTTACAAATATCTCCATAACTCTATGCCTGTGAAAACACACTTCATGAAATAATTACAGTTTAAAATTATCCCAATAAAAATCTAAAATAGCCATTTCCTTTCTTTTAACTATTACTTGATATAAAACACTGATTGATTATCTGGCAGTGGTTAGAAATTATAATATGTCCCATCAGATCTAATTTCATGAGTATTATCTATGTGATTTCTTCTAAAAAAATTCTAAATATAAATATTTCCTTCATGACATAAAATACTTATTTCCTTTTAGTCCATTTTTCACTAAAACTCACATGCATTTTGGACATAAAATATGTTTTTCCTTTTGGTCCATTTTTCACTAAAACTCACATGCATTTTTTTATAAACTCAATTTTAATGATTCAGTAACACAATATAACTCTGATGTACAAAATCTTGAGAAATGGACATTTCTTTGTGTTTTCTAGCAGAGAGGTCACCAGACCATGGCCTCTGAATCAGATCAGCCAGTTATTGTAGGAATTATAGTTGAAAGGAAAAAAAAAAAATCTAAAATTTGCATCCATAAATAAAGTCTTATCAGAATACCATCACTCCCATTGATTTACATATTGTCTGCTTTAGTATTAGAATGCAGAGCGGTTATGTCAGAGACCATATGGCCTGCAATGCCTGAAATGTTTACTCTGTTATATCATACATACTGCAGCTCCCTTGCTATATGAAGAAACTAGCTCCAACCCTTCCACTTCCAATTTCTCCAAATTGCAAAAGTATGAAATCTTGCTCAGCTTAAATATGGCCCGACACTTGAGTATTTGATATAATAATGAGATGATTCCAAAGTTCCAACTTGTGAAGTAGAAGAAAGTATTGTCGTTTAAGAGTTTACCACTCATACATCTTTCTCAAATTGTTGTAGAGTTTCTAAAATATGTCTAATATATAATTAGGTACAACATTTAGGTAAACTAGAGAGGAGCCAGACACATAATAAAGATCGGGATAAGAGACAACTAATGCAGAAAGTGTGGAATGCAAGCTATGATAACTGTATTCTCACTCATCAAACATTTATTGAAACCTTCTATGTGCAAATCATTATGGTCGGTTCATGCTCAGCAAGGTCAGATTCAGGGTCGTGTCATTGGAATGATACAGCTTGGTGCCTTCTTAGGGCACTTGAAGCTCATGCCAGGGAAATCCCTCAGTCCCTGCATTTTTACAGGGCCTTTTACCAGCTCTAAAATACCTAAGGGAAACTGTAGATATGGAAACACGGAATCCCACCAGGAAGTTGTGCAATGAGCTCAGGGCTATGAAATCAGACCATGAATTGTCATCTGTCTTCCAGGAAAGAAGAAATGAGACTGTTCCTCCCTCCCCATGCCCCTTTTAGCTACATGTTGTTCTTAGCAATGTCTTTTCCCAATGCCTGCCCAGATGTTCATTTTCACTCCAGGATGCTGAGGTGACAGCAGAAATATGATTCTGCCAGATCCGATGCCCTTCAGGGAGGGCCTTGGGTCTGAAAACTGCCAGGAATAGCCTTGGTGAGTGGCATGGTGGGAAAGAGCAGTGGACAGGAGGAGCTCGTTAACCATCCAGGCCAGTGTCTGCAGGACCACCACTGCACACTTTATGCCCTCAGAGGCGGCACTCAGGGAGCTCAGAATGCACGTTTCAAACAAACAACAGAAATGAGGTGCCCAGAAGGAGTCACATTTCACAGGCTATGTCTAACCAAACTCTTAGATTTTGTAGAGCTTTGGAGAGTGAAGGAAAATGACCACTTTGCCTTTCTAAGAGGTAGATAAGAATACAAAAGTAAA